CCCATCATCTGCAACAAAGAGAAAAAGAGCCATCAATCTCTGAACAGGCAGGCCCAGCGGACCGATCCCTAACCACGCACTCCCAGGTAAAGCCCAGCCGAAAGACGATGTCGGCCTACCATAACTCTGGGGACTAAGGATGACTGGAAAAGCCTAAGAAGGCTGCCTGCCAGTGTTCTCTAAACTTGGAAATTTTGGGGTTTGTTCTTTAAACACTAATTTAAATTTTTTTTTATTATAATACTAATGCCTACAATAAGTTAACTTCTGTTTCGGTTATTATATTATCTAAAAGAGAAAAAAGAACTGTTCTCAGCCTGCAAGTGTTTGGGGTCATCTTTGTTTTACTGTGAATGTGAGATATATTGATAACTGCCAGGAAACCCATGGGATCTTGGTCAAACTCTCCACTCAATCAGTTTTGTGTGCACTGCCTTCCTGTGGTCTCCTGTCAGATTCAGTCTTACCCTGTTCTAGCCAACGCCATCGCCAATAGGCGGTGAAGGAGCTCTATAACATTGTTATGACCAGGGTCAACATCTTGATAATGCCCCTTGGAAAAGAAGAAGGCATATGTTTGACTCCTAAATACAATGCTTTGGGGGCTGGGGATTTAGCTCAGCGGCAAAAGCGCCTGCCTGGCAAGCGCAAGGTCGTGAGTTCGGTTCCCGGTACCGGAGAAAAAAACCAAAAATAAATAAATAAATAAATACAATGCTTTGGCTATCACCAACAAAGCTGGGGTCATCTGAACCGAGTCCAACTGGCTAATTCTAAACGTACATTTTCTCACATACAAAAATGACAAAAACGTAATCATGTGTCTTGTTATTTTAAAATAAAGTAGTTTATGTATTAAAGACTTATTTCCTAGCCCCACAATGGTGTTTTACAGTTTTCTTCTCAATGTTTTCTAAAATTTTGGTTAACTTTTCTGAATATTTTGTTTTATTGTGCCAATACTAGTGGAAGATTTTTCTTTCGTTACATTTCCTATGTAAATCTTTTACAGTTTATACAAAACTTGTTCGTGTTTATGTAACAAATCTTCTGACCTTGTTTACTGATTATAATTGAACAACTTAATAAACTGCATTATTGTTTAAAAAAAATTCTACCCTGTTCTGGATTTCTTAAGTCCCTGTGATCATCTTGGGTAGACATCATCACGAGTAAAGAGCTTAATATCAACACTACCAAGTTTCATTGTCTACTTTCTTCCCAAAGAATCTAATACACAATGTAGGATCGATGCATATTAAATACATAATTAATGTAAAGCAAATGAAAGATCACTAAATAAACAACAAAGACACCAACATCCAAAGGAAGAAGTCACATGTTCCCAGACTACTCAAAGAAAGGCTCCTGGAGCAAAAGTTAGAACTGGAATCTTAAAAATGGACAGAATTTGGACAGGCAAAGCAGAAAGGGGTAGCCATTCCAAGTGACAATAGCAAAATCTAAAGCATGGAAGAAGGCAGTTGACTGTCACCTAGGAGTCCTGCCTGGTAGGGCATGGCGGACAGTATCTACATCTTTTAAGACGAGACCCTTCGCTAGCAAGGACTTGGATTTGGTTCAGCCTCTACTGTCTCTCAAACTATTATCAGTCATTTTTGGCCTCAAAGTGCTGATGTCTCAAGCACCACATACACTGAATCGATTTTCTCTGGGAAGAGGCCAAGGTACATGCTAGTAAGAACTGGCAATAAAAGCAACAGGGAGTTGAGAGGGGCTCATGGGCCTCTAGGGTGAGTCTACAGGTCCTACGGGCAGGTCCAAGATACCTCAGAGTAGGGAGAGAAGAGACATGCTAGAGTCCTGAGGATAACTATACCCTGATAAAAGAAAAGGCCCACGGTCAGAGAACTATCTTAAATGCTACTATATTTTGTTTTTTAAGACAGGGTCTTGCTATGTAGTTCAAACTGGCCTCAAACTCACACAGATCCGCCTACCTCAGCCTCCCAAGCGCTGGGATGACAGGCGTGCACCACCACTCCCAGCCTATTTATTTCTTAAACTACAAGTCTGGCTGGTGTTCTAGGCATACAGCCATACCAGCTGTGGGGCGTTTATTTTCTATATGTGAGAAATCATCTTCAACCCAAATATGTCAGTACAAATAAGCAAGATTTACAAAATCTGGAGATCAAAGGGAAATGGAAATTTGATTCTGTTTGCAAAAAAAACCACAGACCTTTCTTCTGTTTTGTTATTTACTATCTGCAAAACAACTTGAGCATTATTTTAAAAAGCAGGTTCTAGTTTCTGAGGCACACAACTGTTGTTTCAGATTCCAAGAAACTTTTCATGAAGAATCATAAATGCCACAGTGTTCGAGAATAACAGCCAGCACCAGAGTCACTGGCATGATCTGCACGGCTGAGTTCTGAGGTTTTGTTTCCCCAGAGCCCGCTTTCCGTTAATGAGGGCCACTGGTTTGGGGAAGCTGCTCTAATCAGCAGCGTAACGAGTGTTCCTGACCATGAGCTTAACAATCCAGGAGGTGGGCAGGCCAGTGCACACAAGAGCCGTATAAAACAAACACTGGCCCTAGTGTTTCTTGGAGGAAGACAAAGGAAGGAAGGCTGTTCTCTGGCAAAGACTAATTACCCCTGAGTACGCAGCGCCACAAGCCTACACAGCAGAGCTTTTGGAAACTACCGCATAAGCAAGTTTCTGCTACTCTTCATCTTACCTCCAGACTGCCAAGAAATACAAAGCCAAGTGAGATGTATTCCTAAAATTTACGCCAGGCTCTCAAAAAAGTGTCATAATTCGTGTGTGGACTCTTTTTACTTGCAAGGGGCTGTCTAAACCCTGCAGGAAACCAAACAGTGTGGCCAGGACATCCATATGACTCATGGAACGTAACTGTGTCTGGAAAAATAATACATCTGACACATCAGTGTCTCTGATGCTAAATGCACTACGAAAACCCAAAGGAAATGGTGTAATGAAGGAGTCGAAACACATCTTAGCTGATCTGTTCAGGCAGGCTTCTTCTGGCCAAGTCCTCAGAAACGTTCACTGAACTACACCTCAGATGGTGCGCTTGTTCGCTTGTATCCCAAGAAGGCGGGCAGCAGCCTCAGTCCCCACCCACACGTCCCGTCCCGCGCTCTCCCACGCACCTCTCGGCTCTCACCTTAATATAAGCCCATGAAATGGGCAGGATGGAGCTGGAGCCCCACGGGGCTGCGCTGACGGTCCCCACAGGCCAGGTGCCCTCAGGCGACTTCACAGAAATGATGGGATGACTGGGCAGAAACGGGGCAAGATGCTTCTTCCTGTATGTTTTTTAAAGCACGTTTTCAGAAGATATGAAAAGATCCTGGCAAATCAAACAGGCAAGGTGTGGGCACTCGCAGGAAGCCCTGTTCGAAGCAGAGATACTTTGACCGAGAAGAGGGTCCTTCTTCATTCCTCCTCCACCAGCCCCCGGCACCCCGCAGCTGTCCAAAGCTATGGCAGAGGATTTGGTGCAGACAGGCGGCCATGGGGAGCACGGAGCCAGGAGCTCACCGCGACGTGGGGATGCCCCAGCCCAGCCCCACACTTCTGCCGCCCGGCGCTCACGCCACACCCTCCCAAGGTATCTGCGGGGATCTCCCCGCAGGTATCTCCCCAGGGGGCTGCGCCTTGGAGCCCATACTGAGGTATCTCCCCAGGGGGCTGCGCCTTGGAGCCCATACTGAGCACCATCCGCCCCCTGGCCTCAGCTGAGGCACTGGGGCTCCCCGTTTACTACAGACCAGGCAGAGAAAAGCAGGAAAGCCAGGCTCCCAGCAATCCTGAAAAGTGGCTCCTCAGGCACATTTTTGGAAGGCTGCAGACCTGGAAAAGGCCACGCTCCTACACTGACAGCTAATATTCCTTCCATCTTTCTTTCTTTTATTTTATGCACTATGCAGTCCAGGCTGGCCTTGAACTCACTTTGTAGCCCAGGCTGGGCCCAAACTCCCAGCAGCCCTCCTCTCTCATCTTCCCGAGTGCTGGGATTCCAGGCGTGCGCCACCACGCCCTGCCTCCTTCCATCTTTTTTTTGTGTGTGTGGGGGGGGTGTACTAGAAATTGAACACACACCCTCATGCTGCACCACTGAGCTAAGTCCCTCGCCCCTCTATCTTATTTTGACTTCATCAAATTAGTAAGATTAGTTTCCTCCATACTAATCTCAGACGTAATAAATGCAGGCTATACAGTGTTCCATGTCTTTCATGCAATTCATAGTCAATATAACCATCAGCTGAGAAGGAAGAAGGAAGGAAAGAGGAGAGGAAGGGAGGGAGGAGAGGAGGAGAGGGTAGGCAGGAGGGAGGGAGAGAAATGGGAAGAGAGACGGAGGGCAGGACGGAAGGGGAGGAGACGAAAGGTATTTTGGAAATCTAGGTTCAAGTCTGAAAGACACTTTCAGGTGCCAGTATTTCGGTTCTGATCCCTAATTCTCAAGTTTCCTATTAATTAGCTTTTCTTTCTCTTTTTTTTTTTTTGAGAGAAGGTCTTGCTATGTAGTTCAGGCTGGCCTTGAACTTACAGCAATCCTCCTGCCTCAGCCTCCTGAACGCTGGGATTACAGCTGTGTGCCACCACGCCCAGCACTAATTACTATTTTAGTAAACTTGCTCTGTGTATTCATGACTGGGAACTCAGTGAGGCTCATCAAACACCATGGTGTTTAGCCCCAGGGTGACTAAAATATAATTATACTAACCTTTGGATGTACCCTAAAACCAGCCTTTCACTGCTCTATATCCAGCCCCGACAGGGACACTACTTGGGAAGGTGACACCTGAAGACCCTGCCAGGAAAAAGAGCAAATCTGGGGCCACTCTGGCTCCACAGCTGTCCTGAGACCCGCGGCACAGCACTCACACTCCGATAGGCCCCATGCCAGGGCCCCCGCCTCCGTGAGGGATGCAGAAGGTCTTGTGAAGATTTAGGTGCGAGACATCAGAACCAAAGTCTCCCGGACGACAAATTCCCACCTAAAGGGAAAGAGCCACAAGTCAGCATCAGGAGTTCGGCAGCGCCCCGGGGCAGAGGCTGCCAACGTCTGGTGCAGCCTCTGCTCCCAGAGGAAAGTCGGCTCAGGCCACATCCGACGTGTCTGCAGAAACCTTCCCCTCTCCGGCCAGGTCTGCAGTCAAACCTGGCATCCCGTAGGCAGGGTGGCTGCGGTTTCCAGAGAAACAGCAACTGATCATTTAGCTCAATTTAGATTTAAAAGTATAGATCTGAACATGCAGTCTACCCCTAATTATCCAACCCAAGGGGAGGGAAAGGAAGCCTCACTAACCCAGCAAAGGACAACACCTTCTTGCAACTGAAATAGACGACTTCTACTCCAGCAGTTCTACCGCCCCCTGCATGCTCAGCTCTAGGTATTTTTTGTTTTGTTTTGTTTTTGTTTCTTGAGAGAGGGTCTTGTTATATAGCCCAGGCTGGCCTAGAACTCACGGCGATCCTCCTGCCTCAGCCTCCTAAGTGCTGGGACTACAGGTGTGCACCACCAGGGTACAGCAATGAGCTCTAGGTATCGTGTGTGTTACCAAATGGCCCTTACGTGCACACAGACATAAGAGCCCAGAGGGGCGTCGGAGAGGATGCTCAACTGGGGGAAGTGGGGTGAGTGCCGTTTTCCTGAGATGATCCAGACACCAGCCATGACATCCAACTGGTGTTAACCACTTCAGCTCTAGCTAATTTGATTTAGACAGGGACATACTCGCTTTATGCTATGAAGCAGAAGACAATCCCTAGACTACACTTATAACAGTAGCAAAGCAAAGCAGAGTCTTTTAACCATTTGGTGCAAAGAAAGGAACAGAAAACAAAGAAAAGAAAAAGGAAGGAAGGGAGCGAGGGAGCGTGGGAGGAGGGGAGGAGGGGAGGAGGGAAGGAGGAGAGCAGGGGAGAGGACAGAAGTGGGAGGCAGGCAGGCACCAGGACGTAGAGATACCGTTCCAAGAGACTGTAACGCCCCTCCCCTCCAGTGGCTCCCAAGAGCATTTCCTGGGAGGTTCATGTTACACACATGCTCTGTCCCAAGTAGTGAGGTTCAGACCCCTTGGGCTGCTATTTCACAGCTGACAAATGAAACCAGCCACAGCCGTTTGTCGAAGGCCATAGAAGATCAGCAACCACCAGTGGCCACAGGTTTCGCCTGAACTCCAGCCAGGGAGCTGGAGGACCTTCTCGCCTGTAGGACCCCCGGGGGACGGCACACCCTGACCATCCACGGACACTCAGCTCACCTCTGCTTCCTTTCCACCTTCTCTGCCTCCTACCTAGCAGCCCCCTTACCTCTTGTAACTCCAGTGGCACCGGGGTGCTTTGTGGAAGTTGTCAATAAAGAAAAGCAGTCTCGGTCCCTAATTCAGAATCATGTTTTAAAAGGGCTCTCAAGAAGCTGAGGGTGAGGCTTGGAATTTCTAAGAAATCTCTTTCTCAGTAGCAACTATGGGAGCCCCTCTCAGGGTCCCTACCTGCGCGTTCATATTCGCCCCGTCGAGGTACACCTGTCCTCCGTGTTGGTGGATCAGGGCGCACACCTCACTGATGTTCTCCTCAAACACGCCATTGGTTGAGGGGTAAGTGATCATGATAGCTGCCAGGTTCTCCTTGTGTTTATCAACCTGCGGAGAAGGCAAGAGGGGGCACAAAGAAGGGCCTTCTTTTCACGACTCACCCGTTTTCTTTGGAAGGAGTAAGAAAGTCTTGGCCCCGTCTCCAAGTACAAGGACAATAGCCACTCCCTTCCTCACAGATCATTACCAAGAAGCTGCAAGAGCCCGTCAGGCCACAGCTCTACGGTAAAGACCCAAAAAACAGTTTGGAAGATTTTAGGACATTCCGGGCCCACCTTGCTAAGGTAGTTTCCCCTGAAGTCATTCAAATAATGAGTCCAGGCTTATTCTTGGTTTTGACACATCTAGTCTCACAGTTACTCTCTTATTTTGCCCAACCCTTCCCTAACCCCTTTCCTCCACATTCTCCTCAAATGAGATGCTCTGTAAGAAGTCTTACTGTTCTGATACGCACATGCTTCACTTTTCCTTTTGCAGCAGGCACGCATGTTACATAATACGCAAGTGTACGTTATGACCAGGCTCGCTCCTGGTTTTGCTGCTGGTTTCTGTGTTTTAGTTTAGTGTTTCCCCCACTCCCCTTGGCCAGCAAATCAGACCAGGGGCATTTGGAAATGTAGAATAAAGTCATATCCTATATTGCAACGACTTTGTAAATACCGGCCCAGAATATTTGTCGGGGAAAAAAAGCCCAAATCGTTGGCAATGGGAAGAGTGGCGAGTAGCTGGAAGGCAGAAGAGCAGCCTTGTGTATTTCCAGCTTCCCTTTGAAGACAGATGAGATTCCCAGTCTCCATGCTTAATAACCCTAACAAAATCACATTGCTATTCCACCGATTTCCTTCCCTCTTACGATGCAGCCTCCCGTCCACTGGTGGAAAGCAGATACGGTTGCTAAGCAACCTCTTCCTGGAGGTTGGGAGGTTGGGAGTGGGGGTTGCTGTGGAGGAAACGGAGAAACGCTGCCTGGAACTCAACGAGGTGTGGCCGGGACAGATGAAATCATGTGCACAGTCTGTACTTGTGTTTCCATGCCCAGCACTGCGGTGGGTAACTGTGACCACCAGCCCGATTATTAATGGGGGGAAGGGTGGGCAAAGCTAAGAAGTCTGTACGGAAAGAGGCATGCCGGTCCTGCAGGAAGCACTCTTACTATCTCCATGAATAATTCATCCAGTATCTTGCACACAGCCGTGAATTATGGGGCAAGGATTTCGGTTCCAGTTTAACAGATATTTTCCCAGCTGCTGAAGTTGAAGGGCAGGGAGTAGGCATGGTCACTTTTACTGGGGACCAAAAGCGTGATTTTTTTTTTTTTCTGATAGTCTGTTTGTTTCCCAATTTCATACCATTTCTCCCCAGACCTGTTCAAAGGAAGAACTGCGGTGCTTTCGTTAGAACGCAGGGAAGGCAACGCTTCAGTCCGCCTGGTCCCCACCCTGCATCACCCCTTCCCAGCCCAGACCTCGCCCCGCTGCTGGGGCCCAGGGAGTACCATGGCCTTGAGGTGGGCGGCATCGATGTTTCCGTATTTATCCACCTCCACGGGCTGAATCTTCATGCCCGCCATGTGGGCACTTGCAGGGTTGGTCCCGTGTGCTGATTTGGGAATGAGGCAAACCTGGAGAACACAAAGAAGAATGCCAAGGAAGGAGAAACGACAGCCTAGAAATGACAGGAAGTCCCACAGCACACAGAGGCCCCATGTGCTTTTATTTAAGCTGATAATGGCTGCTTTAAAAGCTGCTATAATGTAATGACAATTACAGTTGTTGCAAGACAAAGTCCAAAAAGGAATATCCACTAGAATCCCAATATTATTCCCTACCGATATCCAGAATGTATTCTTTCACCCCAGCACAGTAAAAGCAAACTGTATTATTCTAACCTTGTCTCAGTTATGACATAGAAACCACCTTTTTTTTTTGAGACAAGGTCTTACTATATAGTCCACACTGGCCTTGAACTCGCCTACATAGCCCAGGCTGGCCTCAAACTCTCGGTGATCCTCCTGCCTCAGCCTCTCCAGTGTTGAGCTTACAGGTGTGTACCACACCCAGCCCCTTTTAGTTTTTAACAAGAGATTTGAGGTAAACTCTAGGACTCAAAAATACTCACATCACACCTTCTGTGTTCCTCTTGGCTTATCCAGGACAGAAAATGAGTTATCTAGCACCCGCTAGTGTCAATACAGCAATTATGTCAGTATTTATTGGATGTTTACTCTGCAGTGAATGGTTAGGTGCCATGAGAATCATCAACTAAGCATGAAAGTACCCCCAGGAGTATCTCCAATAGAAAGTAACCCCAGTACAAATAACAAGAAGATATTTATCCAAAATATCATCCTCCTCTGTTTTTATCCTAGAACCAATATTGCAAGCCCCCTTGTTTTTCTTTTGTTTTTGCTTTTGTTGTTTTCTGGTACCGGGAATCAAACTCATGACCTTGCACTTGCCAGGCAGGTGCTGTGCCGCTGAGCTAAATCCCCAGTCTCCTTGTTTTTCTTTTTTGTTTTTTGAGACAGGGTCTCACTCTGTAGCCCAGGCTGGCCTTGAACTCACAATGACCCTCCTGCCTCATCCTCCCAAGTGCTGGGATTACAGGTGTGCACCACCACGCCCAGCCTGCAAGCCTGGTGAAGAGAAATGGATGGATGTTATAAAAAATGGGTTTACGAAGGGAAAACTTAGCTGCCACCTGTTTCCTCAAAAGCAACAAAGTAGTCTCCTTATGAAAGCCACAGGTGAATAAAATGCAAGCTTTAACCTAAGGCAAAACGGGATCACTGTCATTATTCTGCTGACAGAAGGTTGTGCTCCTTTCAAATGGCTGATGGTCCTATGCTGTGCTGTCCTCAAATCCTTTTTTTTTTTTGGTCAAATGCTTTTTTGTAGTTAAGGTTTTTTTCTGTCATTTCTAGGGCCAAAGCTGGGGTCTCTGTCCCCTCTCCCAAGTACTTTTCTTCTACAAGGGAATCACGGCATGAAAGAATCTCTTCAGGGCAGGGTATGGACAAAGGAAGGGAAAAGGAATACTAAGAAGAAATACACAATTTCCATAAAAAGCCAAAATGAAGGATTCATACTGAGGAAATTCTGCTGAAGCAAAACTATCCCAGCAGCAATGGTAGCCATCCCGAGGCGGCCGAATGGGGCACCCAGAGAGGGGTACACTGTGATCCTTGGAACCCGTGGGCTCTGCCGTGTATAGCAGAAGGGACTTTGCAGATGTGAAGTTCAACAAGGACACTGAGACAAGAAAACTATTCTCAGGCCCAAAATATAGTAGGAACTGTGTATCAGAAGGAGGCAGGAGAGATTCAATGAGAGGAAAGGGATGCGTGCAGCATGCCTATAATCCCAGCATTCTGGGAGGCTGAGGCAGGAGGACTGTAAAGTCAAGCCCAGCTTGGGTAACTTAGCAAGACCCTGTCTCAAAATTTTGAAAAAAAATTTTTTAAAGGGGCTGGGGATACAACTCAGTGTGAAGGCCCTGGGTACGGGGAGGATGTGATGACTTCAGCAGGACGCTGGCGTGGTGACAGGAAGGGGGTGCGAGCCCAGAAAGGCAGGTAGCCTCTAGGTATGAGGAAAGGAAAGAGGTCACTAGATGTTCCACGAGGAACCAGTTCTGCCAATAACCAGCCAAGAAAAACCAACTGCAGATTTCTGGCTTCTGGAAGAAAATAAATAAATGTGTGCACCTTAAATCACCAAGCTGATAGTAATTTGTTATGGCAGCCATAAAAAACTAGTACCCTGAGAGAAAGTGTAGCCGAAGCCATGCACAGTGGTGCGTGCCTGCAATCCCAGCACTCTGGGAGCCTGAAGCAGGAAGATCGAGAGTTCCAGGCTAGCCTGGGCAACTCAGCAAGGCACTGTCTTAAAACAGGGGCTGGGATGCAGCTCAGTGGAGAGGGCCGCCCCCAAAAAAGAGTAGCAGAAAGAGAACAACTCTCCGTGGGATTTTCTAGGTGGATTTTACAATGCTAATCTTTCCTCACTTTAAATTCAGAGTTACAAAGGACCTGAAATTAACAGGAACCAGATTTAACATTCCGGTTTATCCAAAGTGTACCCAGCTTTTGCCCATTTAGGTGCCTGCAGGGTTTCCTCACGCCCTGTGGAGGCCAGAGGAGGACTGGCATGGGTTGTCCTCAAAGATCTGCCGGGTGAGGAAAGGATTAGGGGGTGTGCCCCTGTGCGGAGGAGGTGCTATTTACCATGGAAAATCCAACACTCAAGGACGCTGCTTTGCCTCAGGCAGCTGGGAAGAGAAAAACATTCCCACATCTAAAAGTGCATCTGGGGAGAGGGCTGGGTGTTCTCCCTTTTTATAGGAAACTCAGTCTCTGATCAGAAAAGTGAGCTGATTCGTCTAGCAAATTGAGATATTAATTATAACACATTTAGGACACATAGTAATTGCTATAAAGTCTTTGTTAGATAGATCTCTATTTTCCCCAATTATACTGGTAAATCAAGAATTTGGGCGTTCCATTTTCGGAGCCTCTGAAATTTAACCCTGAGAGCAAATGTGAGTGTAACTTCCAAAAGCAGCCTGAAAGAAAAGCAGCACGAGGAACCCAGGCGGTTCTGCAGCGTGTGATTCCCCCCACTTCCTTTGAAAACAGGATATACTTTACTGGATTCCATCAGAGTCTATTGTGTGGGAACAGCTGCCTCCGACATCACTGGTGTGGAAAAATCTTCCCCGATTATTTTGAATAAATCACTCTCTTCTTCTCTGGCTAGAAAAATCTGCTTTAATTAAAATCTTTGATTC